AACACACTGGCAAAATTTCAGCCTCAAAGCTTGCGTGGTTGGCGAGTTGAAATACCCGGACAGACGTATACACACACACACACACACACACACACACACACACAAACATACACACACACTGACAGGGTCGTTGTAATGTGTGTTTTTGCTGCCTGTTGCAGCGCTCTAGCGCTGCACGGCAAAAACGCATAAAAACCCATGCACCTGGATGTCCGTGCTGCTCTATAATGCACCACCTTCAACTAACACCTTTCCTCCTGCATGCGGGAAGGGGCCAAAGCACGACCTATATGAGCCCAAGTGTTAGACTACTGCGCAGGGATTATTCTTGCTAATAGCGATCTGCGAGTTTAGTGCAAAAACGCATGATCGCACCGGAGAGCCTGATGCGTTCCAGCCTGGGTTTATACAATCAACTATGCGCTTTCAACACGTCATCGCAGAAGTATGTGAATACCCCTCACATTTTTTATTTGTATTTCATCTGTGATTTTGATATTTACTTGTACGGATTTTCATGATTCGGCGGCAAATTGCGCTTTTTCTTTCAAATTTTGTTAATTTCAAACTGTGTTTTGTGTTCTTAGGCCCAAACTGTTTCTTCGGGTCTGTTCAGTGCTGGTGTAATTGCTGGAGCAAACTATCGCCAACCACTTTTCCAGGCGCGTTAGATTAGGTAAAAGGAGGGAGGCTTACACGATAAATAAAAAGAAAAGTGAAATGAAGGATGTTAGAAAACATCTTAGCGTAGGCCTTTTTATGCGTTTTTGCCGTGGCCTTTTTATGCGTTTTTGCCGTGCACAGACAGCAAAAACGCATATTGGAACGAACCTATCGGTGTGTGTTTGTATGTGTGTGTTTGTATGTGTGTGTGTGTGTATGTGTGTATGTCGAGTATTTTAACTCGCTAATGACGCAAGCTTTGAAGCTGAAATTTTGCCGGTGTGTTCCCCAACCAAGTACCACCCCACGACCGCGGTTCCAACCCTTGCGCACGACTGAGCCCCGCGTACGAGCACGTGGAATTTTTGGCGCGAAAATCGCTAATTCGGGAACGAGAAAAGCTAGGGAGCTGGAACG